GGTGTAGGGAAGTTTTCATTCAAATAAGATACAGATACTATTATTAGAAAGTGCAAAATAACTAGTTAATTGATGGCTTTATATACCAATAGTTATATTATAAAGTGTGCAACTTTGGAAATAATAATAATAGTAACAACATCAATAAATTCATTAAAAACAAACTTTATTTTAAATACACATATTAATACACATTTTTACAAAATACATATATTAAAATACACCTGGACAAAGATTAACACAAGACACGAGTTTAAAATGCAGCAATTGGTTTAAAAGTCTTAAGGACCTGACCTAAATGTTATATGATTCTAAGAGACATGTACAAAAGATAAGATGTTCAGAATGGAAACAAAAAGCAACCCAATCCTACCCCTTTTTCTCAACATAGTGGGATTTGGAGCAAGACAGAGAACTGGGCCCGGCAACATGGATGTGCGTATATAAACTCACCATCCTTCTTGATTTTCTCATTGAGATTGTTAATGTAGATTGTGTGGTTGGGCCGGGATTCTGGGACAGCCATGGTGACCTCACTGTGAACAGCAGCAGACTCTAGAAAGGGAAGAGAAGACCCCCATTAAAATAATGGAATGTACTTAGTCCTAATCTTTTTTTTATACTTGTTTTATACCACTTCACTGGATGTGTTGCAATAGCAAATTCCCAGATTACTTTAGTGTTTACACATTATTATTTTTTTTAGGGTTATTTAATATTTAACGTCTTTTGCTTAAGTTCCTCTGCTTTTTGAGTGTTGCTATTTGTTTACTGCCATGATTTTAGAGTTTTTTTAAATACTGGTAGCCAGGTTTTGTTCATTTTCATGGTTTCCTCCTTTCCGCTGAAATTGGCTTCTAACTGACTTCAGTGGCTTCCAACTGACCTCACAACCATCATGAATATTACTGTATTCTATTATTAGCATTTTATTGTATTACATTATAATAAAGATTATTACCAATATTATATGTTGCATAACACAATATTAGCATTATACATTACTATATTGTACCATACCACTATACTGTAATATTATTAGTAATACATGTAATATATAATTAAGATTATTATATTGTACTAGTTGTAACCACCACACGTAGCTGTGGGTAACATTCCCTCCCTCTTTCTCCCCTTCTTTCCTTCCCTCCCTCTTTCCTTCTTTTCCCCTTTTTCTTTTCCTTCCACTTCCTCTCCTTTCTGCTCTACCTCTTTCCTTCCTTCCTTCACTTTTTGCTTCCAAATTCCCTTCTCTCTTTCCTCCCCTCCCTCTTTCTCCCTTCTCTACCGCTTTTCTTCCTTTCTTTCTCCCCTTCCTTCCTTCTGTACCTCTTTCCTTCTTTCCCTCTTTTCCTTTTCCTTCCACTTCCTCTCTTTTCTTCCTTCTCTACATCTTTCCTTCCTTCCTTCACTTTTTGCTTCCATCCTTCCTTCTCTTTCCTCCCCTCCCTCTTTCTCCCTTCTTTACCTCTTTCTTTCCTTCTTTCTCCCCTTCCTTCCTTCACTTTTTGCTTCCATCCTTCCTTTTCTTTCCTCCCCTCACTCTTTCTCCCTTCTCTACCTCTTTCCTTCCTTCGCTTTCTTTCTCTTTCTTCCCTTCCTTCCTTCTGTACCTCTTTCTTTTCCCTTTTCTTTTCCTTCCACTTCCTCTTTTCTTCCTTCTCTACCTCTTTCCTTCCTTCCTTCACTTTTTGCTTCCATCCATCCTTCCTTCTCTACCTCTTTCCTTCTTTCTTTCTCTCCTTCCTTCTTTCTTTCCCTCCCTCCCACTTCCCTTTTTTCTGTATCCTGATTTAGCTTTTCGTCATTTAGATTTTTTGGGGTTTTCAAGTCCTTTCGGCTGTTTTAGGGGGGTTTATGAGTGATGGTCACTCATTGGACTGTTAGGGGTGTAGTGTCCAAATTTCATGTCAATTTGCCCAGTAGTTTTTGAGTTATGTTAATCCCACAAACGAACATTACATTTTTATTTATATAGATTATTATTAGCATTTTATTGTATTACATTATACAAACTACAGACCACCTGCTGCGATGCAACCTGAACCCCGCCACATGCACAATGGAGGACCTTCTTGCAGCAACACCAGAGGCACTCCAAGTGGCCAGATACTGGTCAAAGGACATTTATTCAATTACCAAGCTTGCAAACTTTGCGTTTTGTTTGTTTTCTTGTTAAAAATGCATTGCGACTGTTTGGCCTGCCCCTGACACGATAAATAAATAAAATAAATATTATTATTACCAATATATGTATTCATAATATATTATATTATTAGCATAACACAATATTAGCATTATACATTACTATATTGTAGTATTATTAGTAATATTACATGTAATATATATTACATATATAGTATGGGGCCCTGATAGTTGGAAATGGTGTCAAACTGCATTAATTCAGCAGTGTAGATGCACCCCTGAAATTACCTTGTGGATCATAATTCCAAGAGGAAGCACAATAAGGAATATGTTGCTGTTGCCTCTCTCTTTTTAAAGTCTGGGAAAGTTACTTTGGGGAACAGAAACTCTGAAAAAAGTGGTGGTTTTGCAAATTGGGAATTATGGAAATTGCAGTCCAAGGAAGTTTTCCAAAGTCCACATGCTATAGCTGCGTTCTGCCCCAAGCCACGCCCCCTAAACCACTAATATGGAGGACTAAATGCCCGGATATTGGAAGGCCCAGGGAGAAGAAAGACCCGGATGTACCGCCCTTTCCTAGTGGGTGTGCCTTTCTTCTGCCCATTATCGGTACTTACCTCGTGGTTCCCAACAAAGATCGCAGTGCCAAAATTAAGTAGAGATCCCTGACTTCCGATCCTGTCACGATTCTCTCCCGGATGATCCGCCTCGAGGTTGATTCCTGACGGATTCTACTCAGGCCGCATCTCCCGGGCGACTGCGCTCTCCACAAACCGCGCCGGTTGACGAAGCCACGCCCCTCACTCCAATCCCACCAATCGCGACGCAGCCTTCCCGTCTGCCCGACGCGCGCGCCCATTGGCCGACCAGCGGACCAATGAAATCCCTCTTAGTCCTTACTCTGTTCCAATGAGAGATTGAAGTGTCGTTTTTCCCGCCATTCCGTACCAAATCTGCCCAATCATCGCGTTAGAATTGTTTCTTGAGCTGTCCGGATTGGACAGCTTTTTCAAGTCCGAAGAAGGGTACCAATCAAGCCTGTATTTGGTCAAGCCGGCTCTGGAAGATAACGCGCCTGCGCAGAAAGGAGGAGTGGTACCTTTGCCTAGTAGAGGCAATGCATGGAGGAGTGAGCAGCAGTCCCAAGACTGGAAGCCTGTTGACCTTTGGTTGGCTGCATCCAGACCTGAAACTTTTGAGTTTTGAGTTCTAGGCTTGACTTTTAACCTAGAGCCTTGAATTCTAGCTTTGATCTGCAACCCCAAGACTGGAAGTCTAGCTTTGACCTGAAGTTTTGAGGCTTCAGTCCTGAGCCTTGGATTAAACCTGCAGCACCAAGACTTTGACCTGCACTCTTGAGCCTTGAGATCTAATTTTGACCTCTGGCCTGCAGCCAGACACCAGAACTCTGGTTTTGACCTTTGATTTGTAACCTCCGGACTTGAACTCTAGCTTTGATCTGTCACCCTGAGCCTTGAACTCCGGTTTTGACCTTTAACCTGAACCCCAAAGATTGGAACTCTGGTTTTGACCTTTGATTGGCAACCTCCGGACTTGAACTCTTTGATCTGTTGCCTTGAGCCTTGAACTCTGGTTTTGACCTTTGATTTACAACTTCCAAACTTGAACTCTAGCTTTGATCTGATGCCCTGAGCCTTGGACTCTGGTTTCAACCTTTGACCTGCAGCCCCACCATTGGAACTTTGATTTCGACCTTTGATTGGCAGCCTCTGGCCTTGAACCCCATCTTTGATCTGACACCTAGACTCTTGAACTCTGGTTTCGACCTTTGATTGGCAGCCTAGGGATTGAACTCTAGCTTTGATCTGACGCCTTGAGCCTTGAATTCTGGTTCAACCTTTGATTGGCAGTGTCCAGACTTGAACTCTCCAGCCTCCAGACTTTCATCCGCCGGAATTGAACTCTAGCTTTGATCTGATTCCGTGAGCCTTGAATTCTGGTTTCAACCTTTAACCTGCAACCCCAAGATAGGAGCTTTGGTTTCGATCTTTGATTGGCAGCCTCCAGATTAAACTCTAGCTTTGATCTGACTCCTTGAGCCTTGAACTCTGGTTTTGACCTTTGATTGGCAGCCTCCAGACTTGATCTCTAGCTTTGCTCTGACGCCTTGAGCCTTGAACTCTGGTTTTGACCTTTGATTGGCAGCTTCTGGACTTGAACTCTAGCTTAGATCTGACACTGTGAGCCTTGAACTCTGGTTTAAACCTTTAACCTGCAGCCCCAAGATTGGAACTCTGGTTTTGACCTTTGATTGGCAGCCACCAGATTGAACTCTAGCTTTGATCTGACACCCTGAGCCTTGAACTCTGGTTTTGACCTTTGATTGGCAGCCTCCAGACTTGAACACTAGCTTTGATCTGACGCCTTGAACTCTGGTTTCAACCTTTAATCTGCAACTCCAAGATTGGAACTCTAGTTTGGACCTTTGATTGGCAGCCTCTGGACTTGAACTCTAGCTTTGATCTGATTCTGTGAGCCTTGAATTCTGGTTTCAACCTTTAACCTGCACCCCCAAGATTGGAACTCTGATTTTGATCTTTGATTGGCAGCCTCCAGATTGAACTCCAGCTTTGATCTGACACCCTGAGCCTTGAAATCTGGTTTCGACCTTTGACTTGGAGCCCCAAGATTGGAACTCTGGTTTCAACCTTTGATTTGCAGCCTTCAGACTTAAGCTTTGACTTTGTTGTTTCTCTGGGGCCACTCCTAGGAAGGCCCTGCAGCAAAAGGACCCTTGGACCTCTGCAGGGTCTGATTACTTGCTACTGAGACACTCCATGCTCCAGGGAAAAAAATGTCTGAAGCCTTGGACAATGCACCGACCCCGCCGCCTCCTCCGATACTACCCCCTCCGCCCCCTCTTCCTCCGCCACCTTCCCCTAGGCTGCAAGGGCCACAGCTACTGAAAGCTGCCTTGGAACAAACTGATCCTGGGGACCATGATGGGATTCAGGAGCTCCTGAAGCACAGGAAAGCCAGGTGGGAGGTTATCAGAGGTCCCCAGCTAAACTGGGCAGGGGATGGGCCATCGAATTGTGCCATCCTGTAAACCGCCATGAGTCGCCCCCGGGCTGAGAATGGCAGTATAGAAATATAGTAAGCAAATAAATGGTTCCTCCTAAATATAGGTCAGAGCTTGCAAAACGTAATTTTAATATAATATATGAATATATTCTGAATTCTAAAACTCAAAAGATTGAAGATAACCGACGGGTTAATATTTCTAAATCATAATAGAAATGTATATGATTTCAATGATGTGGCTATATACACATTTATTTATTTATTTATTTACAGTATTTCTGCCCTTCTCATCCGGAAGGGGACTCGAGCTAATCACAAAACACATGTACGGCAAACATTCAATGCCGTTATACACTGACAAGACAGATAACTATACATAGAAGTTTACATAAGCTTTCCAATCTTCGGCATCTTGGAGGCTGTGCTCAATTCCAGCCATTTAGGGGGAGGGGGTGCTATTGCTTCACTTTCTCTGCCAAAGAGCTTTGTTCGTAAGCATGCTCCTTGATCAAATTGCCCGCATTTTTCTGGCGTTTCCTTATGGGTACCTTAATACCTTCCCGCTTGAGCAGTACCTATTTCTCTACTCACATTGCTGTTTTCGAAACTGCTAGGTAGGCAGAAGCTGGGCTAAAGGCCAGGAGCTCACCCTGACCTGAGCTTCGAACTGTCAACCTTTTGGTTGGCAAGATTTACCACAGCTGGCGGTTAACCTGCTGTGCTACAACAGGTTATATTCTGTACATATACACATACAGAATCTGCGTAGACGATAGAACAGACATGGACAAACTTTGACCCTCCAGGTGTTTTGAACTTCAACTTCCAAAATAATATTATTATAATGTAATGCAATATAATACTATTAATAATAACATGATATTATAATTATATGTTTATATTACATGTCATATTACTAATAATATTACAATATAATGGTACAGTACAATATAGTAATATTTAATACTGATATTGTACCATGTTAATAATATATCATATTACATGTAAAATTACTAATAATATTACAATATAATGGTATAGTACAATATAGTAATATTTAATACTGATATTGCACTATGCTAAAAATATAATGTATGTATGTATGTTTATCTTGTAAGCCGCTCTGAGTCCCTTTTGGGGTGAGAAGGGCGGCATATAAATGTCATAAATAAATAAATAAAATGATCAAGGGTCTGGAGAACAAGCCCTATGAGGAGCGGCTTAAAGAGCTGGGCATGTTTAGCTTGAAGAAGAGAAGGCTGAGAGGAGACATGATAGCCATGTATAAGTATGTGAAAGGACGTCATAGGGAGGAGGCAGCAAGCTTGTTTTCTGGTGCCTTGGAGACTAGGACGCGGAACAATGGCTTCAAACTACAAGAAAGGAGATTCCATCTGAACATTAGGAAGAACTCTCTGACTGTGAGAGCTGTTCAGCAGTGGAACTCTCTGCCCCGGAGTGTGGTGGAGGCTCCTTTGGAAGCTTTTAAACAGAGGCTGGATGGCCATCTGTCAGGGGTGATTTGAATGCGATATTCCTGCTTCTTAGCAGGGGGTTGGACTGGATGGCCCATGAGGTCTCTTCCAACTCTATGATTATAGGAGGGTCAGAGAATATATGTTAATTACAGAAGTGTTATCTTCCCCTAGAATGTGTTTGGTTTTCAGTGTATTCTTTTTCCCTTTGGGTCTTCCATTTCCATCTACCTGCCTTTTCTCACCACTCCAGAGGCAGCTGAGATAGTTTCCTGAGTCATTCCTCCTAAGAGTTTGGAGATGAGAGCTTTATTAATTATGCAGGGGAAGGAAGCAAAGTGCCACTAATGTTGTTTTCTCTCTCTCTCTCTCCTTATCTTCCAGCTTCAGTGAGCATTTAAAGTGGCTTCTTTTCAACAACCCTGTGCCTTCCTTAATCCAGGAGGGTCCCCAGTGAGTACTGAATCTTCATCTTTACTGTAAAGTTAGAAATGTGTGGGGAATAGTTTTGAATTCTGCAAATTACTCACCTTCAGTGCTGCTCTCTGGTTTCCGCTTTCCTCCTCCAGGTGTGGTCTGGTCGCCCTATGGATGGCTGGTGCCTTGCTTTCTCTGCCCAGACCGGTTTCTTTGGAGAGAATTGTGCAGGTGGCTTTGGAAAGAGGCTACACGGCTCAGGGAGAAATGTTCTCAGGTTTGTAATTGTGGAGGGGCAGTGAATATAATTATTCATCCTGCAGATGGTGGTCTTGTTTGTTTATTTATTTATTTGAAACATTTATATTCCTCCCTTCTCACCCCGAAGGGGACTCAGGGCGGAGCACAACATACAAAAGGCAAACATTCAATGCCCGGACTTGAATCTATATAAATAAAAATGTAATGTTTGTTTGTAGGATTAACATAACTCAAGAACCACTGGACAAATTGACACCAAATTTGAACACAATACACCTATCAGGCCAACAAGTGACCATCTATATAAATAAAAATGTAATGTTCGTTTGTGGGATTAACAGAACCCAAAAACCACTGGATGAACTGACACCAAATTTGGACCCAAGACACCTAACAACTCAATGTATGTCCTTCACTCAAAAAATTATTTTTGTTATTTGGGAATTGTAGTTGCTGGGATTTATAGTTCGCCTACAATCAAAGAGCATTCTAAACTCTGCCAATGATGAAATTGGGCCAAACTTAGCTCAAAGGATTCCCCTGACCAACAGAAAACACCAGAAGGGTTTGGTTGGCATTGACCTTGAGTTTGGGAGTTGTAGTTCACCTACATCCAGAGAGGACTGTGGACTCAAACAATGATGGATCTGGACCAAATTTGGCACGAATATTCCATATGCCCAAATATGTACACAGATGGAGTTTTGGGGAAATACACCTTGACATTTGGGAGTTGTAGTTACTGGGATTTATAGTTCACCTACAATCAAAGAGCATTCTGAACTCCACCAATGATGGAATTGGGCTAAACTTCCTACCCAGAACCCCCATGACCAACAGAAAATACTTAAGGCCATCCAATCCAACTCCCTTCGCCAGGGCAAGAAAACACAAACAAAGCCCTCCTGACAAAGAGCCATCCAGCCATAGATATAGATAGATATAATTCACACACAGAGAGATATATAGTATGATATATTTGAAAGGGACCCCTAAAGAAGGACAATAACATGATTCCGTCCTGGGACCGGTCCTGTTCAACATCTTTATTAATGACTTAGATGAAGGGCTAGAAGGCATGATCATCAAGTTTGCAGACGACACCAAATTGGGAGGGAGAGCCAATAGTCCAGAGGACAGGAGCAGAATTCAAAATGATCTTGACAGATTAGAGAGATGGGCCAAAACTAACAAAATGAAGTTCAACAGTGACAAATGCAAGATACTCCACTTTGGCAGAAAAAATGAAATGCAAAGATACAGAATGGGGGACATGCCTGGCTCGAGAGCAGTACGTGTGAAAAAGATCTTGGAGTCCTCGTGGACAACAAGTTAAACATGAGCCAACAATGTGATGTGGCGGCAAAAAAAGCGAATGGGATTTTGGCCTGCATCAATAGGAGCATAGTGTCTAGATCTAAGGGAAGTAATGCTACCCCTCTATTCTGCTTTGGTTAGACCACACCTGGAATATTGTGTCCAATTCTGGGCACCACAATTCAAGAGAGATATTGACAAGCTGGAATGTGTCCAGAGGAGGGCGACTAAAATGATCAAGCGTCTGGAGAACAAGCCCTATGAGGAGCGGCTTAAGGAGCTGGGCATGTTTAGCCTGAAGAAGAGAAGGCTGAGAGGAGATATGATAGCCATGTATAAATATGTGAGAGGAAGCCACAGGGAGGAGGGAGCAAGCTTGTTTTCTGCTTCCTTGGAGACTAGGATGCGGAACAATGGCTGCAAACTACAAGAGAGGAGATTCCATCTGAACATGAGGAAGAACTTCCTGACTGTGAGAGCCGTTCAGCAGTGGAACTCTCTGCCCCGGAGTGTGGTGGAGGCTCCTTCTTTGGAAGCTTTTAACAGAGGCTGGATGGCCATCTGTCAGGGGTGATTTGAATGCAATATTCCTGCTTCTTGGCAGGGGGTTGGACTGGATGGCCCATGAGGTCCCTTCCAACTCTTTGATTCTATGATTCTATGTTATGAAGTAGCAACAAAAGCAAAAAGAAACAACAAGAAGTACTGTTTACCCACAAGCATCTAGACATTACATATATTAGAAACCAACACTTTCTCATTATTTTATTTTGGAGATCACCAGACTGGGCCACAGCAACTTGTGGCAGGGGACGGCTAATTACACATAAAAACACTGAAAAACACAGCAAAAGAGACTTAAAAAGGCAAAAAAACCCCAAAAAACATTACAACGCATGTGCAAAACCAGATATATACACACACACACATATATACAAATATACACAAATATATACACACACACAACACATATACACAAACCAGGCCGCAGCAACACGGAAGGGGTTCCGCTAACCGGGGAGCCCCCATAGAAGTCGTGGTGGGGAGGGGGAGATATGGGAAAGGGAGGCCTTTAATTCGACCTAGGGAACGGGGAACAACATTAGTAATTCCAAATCGGTCTCCTGATATGGTAAGTTGGTGTAACCAGGATGGCGGTCCCTCCGATTGAAAGTGGTGCTGTTGAACGCCAGATCTGTCAACGGTAAAACAACTTTCATCCAGGATTTAATCCTGGATGAACGGGCAGATCTGGCGTGCATCACAGAGACCTGGTTGGACGAAGCGGGAGGTGTAAATTTAACCCAGCTTTGCCCACCAGGTTTCTCTGTGCAGCACCAACCGAGATCCGGAGGGCGGGGAGGTGGGGTTGCAGTGGTCTATAGAGATTCAATTTTTCTGACCAGGGCCCCCATCCCGCAGTCACACAAATTTTGAATGTGTCCACCTGAGGGTGGGTGACCGGGGCAGATTAGGGATTCTGCTAGTGTACCGCCCACCTCGCTGCACTACAGTCTCCCTGACCTGAGCTAGCGGGGGTGGTCTCGGACCTGGCGTTGGAGTCCCAACGGCTGCTTGTGCTGGGGGACTTCAATGTCCATGCCGAGGCCGCCCTATCGGGAGCGGCTCAGGACTTCATGTCTACCATGGCAACCATGGGGCTGTCCCAACAGGTATCTGGCCCCACCCACAGTGCTGGACATACATTGGACTTGGTTTTCTGCCAGGGATGGGAGGAAGGTGGCGGTGTTGAGGAGTTATCCATCTCTCCGTTGCCATGGACCGACCACCACCTGGTCAGCTTTAGACTCACTGCACCCCCTAACCTCCGCAGAGGTGGAGGACCCATTAAATTGGTCCGCCCCAGGAGGCTTATGGATCCGGATGGATTCCTGATGGCTCTTGGGGAATTTCCCGCCACCTCGGTTGGTGATCCTGTTGATGCTCTGGTCGCTCTCTGGAATGGGGAGATGACTAGGGCAATAGACACGATCGCTCCAGAACGTCCCCTCTCAAGTAGCCGAGCTAAACCAGCTCCTTGGTTCACCGAGGAGCTGGCAGCGTTGAAGCGAAAGAAGAGGGAACTAGAGAGCGTGTGGCGTTCGGATCCGAGCGAGCCAAATCGAACACAATTTGTGTCCTTTTTAAGGGCATATGCCGCGGCAATAAAAGCCGCAAAGAAAACTTTCTTTGCGGCCACTATTGCGTCTGCAAAGAACCGTCCGGCCGAACTGTTCCGAGTTGTCAGAGGCCTATTAAAACCCACCACTCAGGATGGGTGCCCTGATGACTCGGCAGCTCGCTGTGAAGCCTTTGCTCGGTTCTTTGCAGACAAAGTCGCTTTGATCCGCTCTGGACTGGATACCATATTAACGGCAGTCTCTGAGGATGTAACACAAGCATCTGCTTGTCCGGTTTTGATGGATTCATTTCAATTGGTTCAATCCGAGGATGTGGACAAGGTGCTTGGAGGAATGAGAGCTACCACATGCATCCTAGACCCCTGCCCATCCTGGCTTCTGAAAGGAGGCCAGAGGGGGATTGGCCGAGTGGGTGAAGGTGGTGGTTAATGCCTCCCTTCGGGAGGGCAAAATTCCAGCCAGCTTAAAGCAAGCTGTGATAAAACCGCTGTTGAAGAAACCATCACTGGACCCCACTCAATTCGTCAACTATCGGCCTGTTTCCAATCTCCCCTTTTTGGGCAAAGTCCTGGAACGTGTGGTGGCCTCACAACTCCAGGCATTCTTGGTAGACACGGATTATCTGGATCCGGCACAGTCTGGCTTTAGGCCGGGGCATGGTACCGAGACAGCCTTGGTCGCCTTAGTGGATGATCTGCGTCGGGAGCTCGACAGGGGGGGTGTGTCCCTGTTGGTGGTGCTCGACCTCTCAGCGGCCTTCGATACCGTCGACCACGGTATCCTTCTGGGACGCCTCGCGGGGATGGGTCTTGGAGGTACTGTTCTGCAGTGGCTCCGCTCATTCCTCGAGGGTCGGTCTCAGAAGGTGTTACTGGGAGACTCCTGTTCAACCCCACAACCTTTGTTGTGTGGGGTTCCTCAGGGCTCAATACTGTCTCCCATGTTGTTTAACATCTACATGAAGCCGCTGGGCGAGATCATCCGGAGTTTCGGAGTGCGATGTCATCTGTACGCAGATGATGTTCAACTCTGTCACTCCTTTCCACCTGCTACTAAGGAGGCTGTCGAGGTCCTGAACCAGTGCTTGGCCGCTGTGACGGTCTGGATGGGGGCGAACAAATTGAAATTGAATCCAGACAAGACAGAGGTACTCCTGGTTAGTCGTAAGGCCGAACAGGGTATAGGGTTACAGCCTGTGTTAGACGGGGTCGCACTCCCTGAAGACACAGGTTCGCAGTTTGGGTGTGATCCTGGATTCAGCGCTGAGCCTGGACCCCCAGGTTTCGGCGGTGACCAGGGGAGCATTCGCACAGTTAAGACTCGTGCGCCAACTGCGACCGTACCTTGGGAAGTCTGACTTGGCCACGGTAGTCCACGCTCTGGTTACATCCCGCCTTGATTACTGCAACGCTCTCTACGTGGGGTTGCCTTTGAAGACAGTCCGGAAGCTCCAATTAGTCCAACGGGCGGCAGCCATGATACTAACAGGAGCGGGGCGCAGGGAGCATACAACTCCTCTGCTGCACCAGCTCCACTGGCTGCCGATATGCTACCGGGCTCAATTCAAAGTGCTGGCGTTGGCCTTTAAAGCCCTAAACGGTTCTGGCCCAACTTATCTATCCGAACGTATCTCAGCCTATCAGCCCACCAGGACCCTAAGATCTTCTGGAGAGTCCCTGCTCTCTGTCCCTCCGGCTTCAGAAGTGCGGCTGGCGGGAACGAGAGACAGGGCCTTCTCTGTGGTGGCCCCCCGGCTTTGGAACACCCTCCCTATAGAGGTACGATCAGCCCCCTCGCTGATGGTGTTTCGGAAGAGATTGAAAACATGGTTGTTTCAGCAAGCATTCGGTTAATCCGTTGCAATCGAATTGTGTTGACTAAAGGACAGGTAATCATGGACGACGAATTTTGGATTGTGATTTTAGTTACGAGATGCATGGGATTATTATTGGTGGCCCAATAATTTGTATTGTATATGTGTTTTATGTTTTAAATTGAATACTGTTTTTAATTGTTGTAAACCGCAATGAGTCGCCGACTTAGGCTGAGATATTAGCGGTATACAAGCGTATAAATAAATAAATAAATAAATAAATAAATAAAATAAAATAAAAGTCTATATAAATAAAAATGTAATGTTCATTAGTGGGATTAACATAACTCAAAAACCACTGGACGAATTGACACCAAATTTGGACACAATATGCGTATCAGGCCAACAAGTGACCATCACTCATCAAAATATGTCAAACACAGCAGAAGAGACTTAAAAAGGGGGGAAAAACGGTTACAACGTATGTGCAATACCCCACACAAACACACATAAATATATACACACGCACACAAACACACATATATACACACATATACTTACGCATATACACACACAAAGCACATACACACAGACTGGGCCACAGCAATGCATGGCAGGGGACAGCTAGTAAATTATATGCATACATAAACATTAAAACATTTGTCTCAATGTTAAAATACACTATTTATTTATTTATTTATTTATTTACAGCTTTTATATTCCGCCCTTCTCACCCCGCAGGGGACTCAGAGCGGATTACAGTGTACACATATATGGCAAACATTCAATGCCAATTTTGACATACAACATATACAGACATAGACAGAGGCTATTTTAACTTTTTCTGGCCGCCAGGGGAGCTGTCGCTTTCATCGTCCATCTGCGACACTGATGAAGTACTTCCGCATTCCCCGCATGCTTTTTTTTGCTGGAGTGCTTGCTGGAGTCTTTTTTTTTTATGGCCTCATAAATTAGTTAAATTAGCCTCCCCACACTTTAAGGTGGTACCTAATTTTCCTGCTTGACAGATGCAACTGTCTTTTGGGTTGCAAAGGTCGACAACAGGCTACACAATTGGTTGGAAATCCACTCCAAACCGAGCTGGCTTCGAACTCATGACCTTATAACTGTCTCGATCATCCGCATCAAATCTAATTGGCCTGGCAAGGTTTTCTATCACTGCTTTATTGCAATGTCCCGAAAGCTGTCCCACAGCCAAGTTTTTACCATCCTTCTGAAGGACAGGAGGGAGGGGGCCAATCTAATCTCATCAGGAAGGGAGTTCCATAGCTGGGGGGCAGTCGCTGAGAAGGCCCTCTCTCTCATCCCCACCAATCATGCCTGTGACAATGGCGGGACGGAGGGCAGGGCCTCCTTGGAGGATCTTAATCTCCGCGATGGTTCATAGGGAGAGATGCGTTTTGATGGATAAATTGGGCTGGGGATGTTTAGGGCTTTATAGACCAAAGCCATCACTTTGAATTGTGCCCCATAGCAAACTGGCAGCCAGTAGAGCTGGTGTAACATGGGAGTTGTATGCTTCCTGTATGCCACTTCAGTTATTAACCTGGCTGCCTCTCGTTGGACTATTTGAAGTTTCGGAACAGTCTTCAAAGGTAACCCCATGTAGAGTGTATTGCAGTAGTCTACCCTAGATGTAATGAAAGCATGGACCACCGTAGCCAAGTCTGGCTTTCCAAGATACGGGCACAACTGGCGCACAAGTTTTAATTGTGTGAAAGCTCCCCTGTATACCACCACAATCTGGGGTTCCAGGCTCAGCAAAGAGTCCAGGAGGACTCCCAATCTGTGAACCTGTGCCTTCAAGGGGACTGTAACCCCATCTAGCACATGCTGTAACCCTATACCCTCTTCAGCCTTGTGACTGAGCAGGAGGACCTCTGTCTTGTCTGGATTCAACTTCAGTTTGCTCGCCCTCATCCAGACCATTACAACGGCCTCCAGAACTACATTTGATGACATTTCTCCTGCCAGAATCTTAAGCTCTATAAGGATGGGCTTTGTCCAGGTTCTGGCCCCATTGCAAGCTTCTTTAGTAAGGAAACAAGGCACAACCCTTTCAGTAGCTTCCCACTCTCTAGAATTCCCTTTTGACTGATCCCCTTTCTTCTCTCCTGTTGGCAAGGAAGCTTTTCATGCTGTCAGGAAGACCTCTGGGTATAAGGGGCATTTGATTTTTTAATTCTGTTTTAATGTAACATTTTTTTGTCATGTCAGGAGCGACTTGAGAAACTGCAAGTCGCTTCTGGTGTGAGAGAATTGGCCGTCTGCAAGGACGTTTCCCAGGGGACGCCTGGATGTTTTGATGTGTTACTATCCTTGTGGGAGACTTCTCGCATGTCCCTGCATGAGGAGCGGGAGCTAATAGAGGGAATTCACTGGGAATAAATAGGAATAAATAAGAAATTGTTTTTAGGACATTTATTTCATCACTTTCGTATCACCTTTCTCTGTGTCCTCTTCCTGGTTCAGCGGCTGACATGGCCAAATTGGCTCTGGAGGTGTTTCCTTGCCAAACGGAGCTGCTGTCAGGAGGGCTGGAGGGAGACAACCGCAAAAGGATCCTTCGACATCTGAGCGCTGGCTTCCCTGTGCTGATCCCGTATCCTTGGAACCTGATAGAAAACAGGATATTAGGGAAGTGATTTGTTTATGTTCCTGTGGAGTTGAGGGGCAAGAAAGAAGTTTGGCTTGCTTTTTCCAAGCAAGGCTCTCAAACCAAAGTCATGGAGTCAGAAACTCTCAGGGCCTTTCCACACAGCCCTGTATCCCAGAATATCAAGGCAGAAGATCCCACAATATCTGCTTTGAACTGGAATATATGGCAGTGTGGACTCAGATAACACAATTCAAAGGAGATATTGTGGGATTTTCTGTCTTGATATTCTGGGATATAGGGCTGTGTGGAAGAGCCTTGAGTCTGAGTGGATTCAGTGTAAGAGTTGGTAGAAATGTACCGTATATACTTAAGTATAAGCCGACCCGAATATAAGCCGAGGTATCTAATTTTACCCCAAAAAACTGGGAAAACGTATTGACTCAAGTATAAGCTGAGGGTGGGAAATGCACCCATTTCAATTTCAAAATGAAAATAGATACCAATAAAATGACATTAATTGAGGCATCAGTAGGTCCAATGTTTTTGAATATTTTGAACTGTAATTTAAGATAACTGTCCAACTCTGATAAAACAATTATTTTCAACTTCTTCAATGTAAATGTGCTTATGTATCCTTGCAATAATAATAAAGAGAATAAGATAATAAATGTAATAATTTATTAATAAAAATAAATTATTACATTTATTATTATTATTATTGATTAAAATAATGGGAATGTAGTAATAAGAGTAAAATAATAAATGTAATAATAAATGTCATAACAATAATGCCATAACAATAATAAAGTAAAATAATAAATGTAATAATACTAATAGAGTAAAAGTATAAATGTATTACAAATAATAATAATAACAGAGTAAAATAATAAATAAGCTGAGGGGGACTTTTTCAACCTAAAAAAAGAGCTGAAACACCCACTCGTTTGGTCTTAGAAACCCCATGATAGGGTTGCCTTTGTTGGAAATAACATGAAAGCATACCACTACTACAACAAATAAGTCAATTTTTTTTTATATATTTCGCCTTTTAACATTCATTAATGCAGCTCAGGCTGCATTAGAATTTAACGAACATTAAAAAGGTAATGTTCGTTAAATGCCTAGTTGTGCATTTACCTGGATAGAAATTTTGGGAAGTTGTCTTGTGGAGCAATTTTAATGAAATGGAGATATATTTAGGTTCTATCAATGTAGGGCCCCTTCTACCCTGCCGTATAATCCAGATTATGAAATCAGATAAACAGATGATCAGATTTGAACTTGATTATCTGAGTCTACACTGCCTTATAATCCAGTTCAAAGAAGATAATCTGGATTTTAAATGGCAGTGTAGAAGGGGCCTTAAGTTGCCTGATGATTCACATCGCGGCAATGATGAAATGTCTTGTGCAATAAATTTATTGTTCCTATTTCACTGCAATATATTTGTTGTTCCTAATTAAAATGCATTACGCATTGGAAGCATCGGAATCAAACGGAGGAGTTGGAGCCAGAACTTTGACACACTGACTCTATAGCCCTGCTTCCAGGGTTCCTCTCCTTGACATTGTTGGACATATAGGAGCAATTTAATGAAGCATGTGGAAGAACAGCTTTTCCCAAGAGGTGTAATATGTTAAGGTTACAATTACTCCCTTTGCTTTCGCACCTGACCATGAATCTCTTAGCACAGGCCTTAACATCTGACCCAGCTATGATGAAGACTCCAACCATGAACCCTGCTTCCGGGGCGGCTACAAGGCTCACTGGGCCATTGCTTCAGGTATGTTGTGCTCTTGGCTATGACCCTCAGAGAGGACTAGTGGACATGTCTCCAAACCTGACCATTCCATGTGTTCCCCAGTGAGTCTGTGGTGGGCTATCTTTCACTGGAGGTCCTCCAACAGAGGTTTGGAAGCCATTTCTCAGCAGTGTTTTAGCTGTGTGTTCCTATATGGCCAAAGGATGTACAGGAGGCCCTCAGCATCTTCTTGGGGTTTGGCTCAACGTCCCTTTTGAACTTAGCTATATAAATAAAAATGTAATGTACGTTTGTGGGATTAACATAACTCAAAAACCACTGGGCGGATTGACACCAAATTTGGACACAATCACCTATCAGGCCAACAAGTGACCATCACTCATAAAAACACCGAAAAACACAGCAGAAGAAACTTAAAAAGCCAAAAAACAAAAAATACATTATAATGCATGCGCAAACCCACACACACACACACACACACACACACATATATACATATATACATACACACACACGTAAAAAACGCATATACACATTTAAACAAATATATATACACACAAAAGACATATACACACACTGGGCCACAGCAATGCATGGCAGGGTACGGCTAGTATACAACAACACACCATTTTCCTCCTTGGCAGGGGGTTGGACTGGATGGCCCACGAGGTCTCTTCCAACTTTATGATTCTCTAAAGTCGGCCCTGGTTAGTATATATATATACCTATATATATCCGCGAAACAGCGAGTCCATGGTAAGTGAACCGCAAAGTAACGAGGGAACACTGTATTTTAATACTGGCAGTCAGATTTTGTTCATTTGCACGGTTTTCTCCTGTCGAAATTGTCCACATACTTGTGGATTTCAATAGCTTCTCTGTATAGTCTGACATGGTAGTTGCTTCCTGCCTGAGGGAATCTTAACAAAGGATTCCCCCAGGCAGGAAGCAGCCAAGCTTTGAAGCTGCAAAGCTATTCAGTGTTAATCAAGGTGATCAATTGCAACATTCACACTTGCCTCAAACAGGCAAGAGTTCTTTCTCCCACCCTGGACATTATTCCACAGATATATAAACGCCACTTGCCTAGTTTCCAACAAACGTCACAACCTCTGAGGATGCCTGCTATAGATGTGGGTAGAACATCAGGAGAGAATGCTTCTGGAACATAGCCATACAGTCCGGAAACACAGCAGCCCAGTGATTCCAGCCATGAAAGCCTTTGACAACATAAATAAAATTATTCCTCCAGGTCACAAAATATTAGCCACAAGGGGGCAGTAGTTCCCAGACTGAAATCTGAGACCTTGGACAGCTCCCTTGAGAAGCCTCTGCTGGCATCCTGGTAGTCACATAAGGAAATATTAAGTTCAGTATGCTTGTGTCATAGGCTACATCCATACTTCAGAATTAATGCAGTTTGATACCACTTTAACTACCATTGCTTAGAGCTGTGCAATCCTAGGAGGAATAGTTTGGTGAGGCTTCAGTGTCATCCGGGGGCAGCAAAATACATTGATTCTACAATGTCACACTTATTTATTTTTGGCTTATTGCAAAGGTTGGTATTCTTGAGCCTTCTGCAATGACCAACTCCACTCTAGAATTACCTTTTTGCCTCAATACCCTTTCCTCCATAGCCAGTTTAGAGTAGGCAGGATTGGAGAAATATGGCTATGTTCCTACAGCCAGGTATGAAATGATGACTTCATGAAACCTCCCAAACATCCCAGTGGATCTCAGCGGGTGATGTCATCAGTCTGTGCTTATGGACATAGGGTTCTCGCTATGAACTCTTCATTGATTATTCAATGACTATGGAGAAAGGGGCTTCTTGCAGCAAAACAGTGAACCTAGGGATGGTGAGATGAAAACCATAGAGTAGCTCAACCAGTGAAACCATTACACTGTGCTCAGTAATGCACAATCTTGGACCAGGTTTAGCAAGGGATTTCTCTTGCAGTCTGCAAAATCATTTCATGTTTTGGCCTGTGTTGGAGAAGACTTCTTCTTTGACTTCAAACTTTTCAGGGTTTTTTTTTTAATGTCAGGAGCAACTTGAGAAACTGCAAGTCGCTGCTGGTGTGAGATATTGGCCATCTGCAAGGGTGTTGCCCAGGGAATGCGCAGATGTTTTACCATCCTTGTGGGAGGCTTCTTTCATGCCCCCACATGGAATGCTGGAGCTGACAGATGGGAGCTCACCCCGCTCCCCAAATTCAAACCGCTGACTTTTCGATCAGCAATCCTGCCAGCACAAGGGTTTAACCGTTTTACCATCCTTGTGGGAGGTTTTATTCATGTCCTCGCATGGGAAGCTGGAGCTGACAGACGGGAGCTCATCCCACTCCCCAAATTCAAACCTCCGACTTTTAGGTCTGCAATCCTGCTGGCACAAGGGTTTAACCCATTGCACCACCGGCAGGCCCGTAGTTTGGGGGGGGGGGGCTTGAGGGGCTTCAGCCCCCCCCCCGAAATTCTCAGGGTGGTCCACGAGAAGGCCTTACTGGTACATTATTTAAACTGTTATGTTTATTCATATCATGATCTGATCACCATGCTCAATATATCCCATATGCATGGGGGTATTGGGATAATGATACAAAAGGTTTGCTAGGGTAGATCCTGAGCCCCCCCCCCCCACAATCAAACTCCCCCCCCCCCCCCCCCCCGAATCAAAATCCTGGCTACGGGCCTGGCCACGGGGTCCCCAACTTAGATGTATAAAGCACCATTCTCTGTTTATTTGAAGTGAAGTATTTACAAAACTATTTGTAAACAATTATTTGCATTTTTAAAAAATCAAAGTGCTCATTATTTAGAGAGCAAAGCATCCCATTTAATTTCATAACATCATTGCAAATGGATCAAACTAGATGTGGATCACCTTCCACCTACTGATCAGCACATAAACATGTGCTCAGAGATATTACAAAATGAGCATTCTGTTGTCTATAATTACTTCAGGGTGTTACACATACACCCTGTTGTGATGCAGCTTAGTACTGTTTATATTTAATTATGTTTTAATGTTTGCATATTTGTATATTTCTCCTTCAGGAGAGATAAAGCAGGATAGTAGTAGTAGTAGTAGTTGTTGTTGTTGTAGCAGGAGTCTAGTAGCTGGTATAGTAAATAGAGTGAAGTGAACGGGAGTCCAGCTAGGCCTTGGTCAGAAGAAAAAGTTAGGACTGAATAATGCCAGTTGAGGAAAAAAAAGGATATAATTTCATTACTGATCTACAACAATACCAGGAGTAAGATGATATAGTCAGCCTGTTGGAAATAGCAACCTTCTCAAGCCTCAACTAGTTATTTGTTATGTATATAATTGCTTACTGTATTGTATGTGTGTATTGGTTTGTAATTTTACCTAACCTCTTTGTTGTGGGAGGAGCTGCAGACCATGTGATCAGAACTAGACATGTTCAGGATTTTACATTAGGGACAACATTTTTCCCATCATATGTAATGGGACTTGAGCATTATTTATTTATTTATTTGCAGTATTTCTATTCTGCCCTTCTCACCCCGCAGGGGACTCAGGGCGGATTACAATGTACATATGCATGGCAAACATTCAATGCCATAGACACACAACATATATAGACAGACACACAGAGGCTATTTAACATTCTAGCTTTTTCATGAGGGTATCCTGACCACCAGGGGAGCTGTCACTTCACATTTCGTTTGTGACACTCATGGAGTACTTCCTCATTCTTTGCATGCTTGCTGGAGATTTTTATGGCATCATAAATTAGCCTCCCTGTATTAGCTTTACCTAAATTTCCAACTTGACAGATGTGACTGTCTTTTGGGCTGCAAAGGTTGACAGCAAACTACACAAATTGGTCGGAAGCTCACTCCGATCCAGGCTGGCTTCGAACTCATGACCTTTTGATCAGTAATTTATTTATTTATTTGCTTTATTTATATACTGCTTTTCTCAGCCCTCAGGCGACTCAAAGCAGTGAACAACATCAATACAAAACACGAACAAGTATAGGGCAATTAAAAACAACTGTAACATAAATCATTAAACATCCGTATAACAATCATTAGCGCCTCAACAGTAAAATTAGAATCCAGTCTCATCATCCATTATTCTGTATTCCTATGTTCAATTACACTGTTTAATCAAATGCTTGTTTGAACAGCCAGGTCTTCACTTTCCTCCGAAACGCCAGCAGGGAGGGGGCCGATCTGATATCTGCAGGCAGGGTGTTCCACAGCTGAGAGGCCACCACTGAGAAGGCCCTGTCTCTCATCCCCGCCAAGCGCGCCTGTGATGCAGGCGGGACAGAGAGAAGGGCCTCCCCAGATGATCTTAATGTCCTAGCCGGTTCATAGGAGGAGATGTGTAATGATCTTAATGCAGCAGACTCCGAGCCAGTAGCGCCACAATCACAGCATCCATGGATTTTGGTAACCATGGGGTGATCATGTGACTACATTTAAAACATTCTGCATATTTCTGCAGAACAGGGGTTGGATTAGATTGCTCTTGGGGGCCCCTCCAATTCTATGACTCTAACTTCGCATTCCCCAATTATTTTGCAAACATTCCTAATGACAGCTGCTTCCAGGTAACGTGCGTACCTGTCTCTCTCGTGTTGTTTCCACAGGAGCTTTGCTTGGTCTGAAGCGTGGCTCCCAGCTCCCTCCTTGCCAGGAAGACAAAGAGATCCTAGGACTTTTCCACGCCAGCCCTTCTACGTCATCCTTCCCTTTGGATTCGGTGGCCGAGACCTATTTGCTGTCCAAGCAGGGCAAAAGCTGCCGATATCAGCTGTGGAACTACACTCTGCTGCAAGAGAGCAATGCCCAGCTGACGGACTTCAGCCCCAAAAGGGCAGCGGATGGCAAGGTCTATATTGTGCCCGCAGGCGGTGTGCGGGAAGGGCTGTGTGGAAAGGCAGTGCTGCTACGGCCAGAAGGATCAGAGATCCGCAAGCCAAACTGAATGGTCATCACTGGAAGGGTGCAGGGGGTGCTTTCCAAGGTTTTGGACAGCCATGGCCTTTACAGGACTGTTTTTTTAAAGACACAGATTCATAGGGGGCAGAACTATAAGAAAAGTGGGATCTTCATGGAACCTCCAGTACCAGGGATTGCCTTTTTGTAGGGTATTTATGAATTGTTTGCCTTCAAGTTGTTTTCTGCTTTGTGTCAACCCTAAAGTAAATCTCTCACAATGTTTCCTTGGCAAGATATGCTCAGAAGATAATATCTCAGAAATTTTAAAAATTAACTGGGTATTTTTATTACAAAAATGAAGCACTGAAAGGGTTAAATGGATGCAATGACTCGGCAATATAAGCAGGTGTGATTGTAGCTTAGTCTGTGAGAGGAGTCTGTGGGAAAAGGGCCTCAGTGTTAGTAGGCCTCAGTATGAGGGTTAGTTCGCCTCAGAGTGAGGCCTCAGGATGAGAAGGCCTCAGTATGTGAGAGACGTCAGTCTGAGAGAGGCCTCAGGATGAGAGTGGCCTCAGGATGAGAGAGGCCTCAGAATGAGAAGGCCTCAGTATGTGAGAAATGTCAGTCTGAGAGAGCCCTCAGTGTGAGATAGACCTCAGAGTGAGAGAGGCCTCAGGATGAGAAGACCTCAGTTCACCTCAGTATTGTGAGAGACATCAGTCTGAGAGAACCCTCAGTGTGAGAGAGGCCTCAGAGTGAGAGAGGCCTCAGGATGAGAAGGACTCAGTTCACCTCAGTATGTGAGAGATGTCAGTCTGAGAGAGGCCTCAGAGTGAGAGAGGCCTCAGTTCACCTCAGTATGTGAGAGACGTCAGTCTGAGAGAGCCCTCAGTGTGAGGCCTGAGTGAGAGAGGCCTCAGTTCACCTCAGTATGTGAGAGACGTGTCTGAGAGAGCCCTCAGTGTGAGATAGGCCTCAGAGTGAGAGAGGCCTCAGTATGAAAAGGCCTCAGTTGACCTCAGTATGTGAGAGATGTCAGTCTGAGGGAGCCCTCAGTCTGAGGGAGTCCTCAGTGTGAGATAGGCCTCAGTGTTAGTAGGCCTCAATATGTGTAGGCCTCAGTGTTAGTTTGCCTCAGTATGTGAGAGATGTCAGTCTGAGAGGGTCCTCAATATGAGATAGGCCTCAGTGTTAGTAGGCCTCAGTATGAGTAGGCCTCGTGTGAGAAGTTTCAGTGAGAGGAAGCCCCAGGTTGAAGGCTTTGTGTGTAAAGCTCATGAGTGAAGCGCCAGTGTGAAGGCTGCTGTATATAAAGCTACTGTATGAAGCTCCTGTGTAAGTTTGGTGTGAAAAGATGCTCTGTGAGAGCAAAGCTGTTTATCTTCATGAGAAAGAAGCAAAAAAGGAAGTATAAATAACTTTGTTCTAGAGGCATTCTCTCCTGACATTTCGCCTGCATCTATGGCAAGCATCCTCAGAGGTAGTGAGGTCATATAGCCCGAAAAAAACTACAACAACCCAGTGATTCCAGCCATGAAAGCCTTCAACAATATATAACTAACTTTATTTGTTATTGAAACCTTGTTCTTGTAAACAGTGCAATCATATTATTTTTGCTGTAAAGAAAAGCCTCCTATGGAAGAGATAGCATTGGTCTGTGTTTTTGTTCTTTTTATCACTTTGGACTACTGTTGCGGGGTCACGCTGCTGCTAATAAGTTCCTCTGCTGTACATTTATGAGGAGGGTCTTTTGTTAATAAGCCCACTCACCCAACAATTTCTTCTGAGAGTCTGAGTTGCCCAAGGTTACCCAGTAAGTTTCCATGGCCAAACAAGGAATTTGAACCCTGGTTTCCCAATGACCTAGTCCAACACACAAACCATTACGCCACGCTGTCTGCCTGTATTCCCCCTCAAGCACTGAGGCATATCATTAAAGACATACCATTAAGTCAGCATCATCCATACTGTGGTATTTCAAATGTCTACGTATGGTAGCAATGCGATCCTTTGCTCACTTACCCCAGCGAACTCAGCAGGGAAACTCCTTGGTTGCTAGACAGGTTTTGTGATCCTCTGGGAAAAAGAAATGTTTATGTGTCCTCTGTTTTTCCTTCCTTCTGAAAATAAAACCAGCAGACTGTCTCTCAACTTGAAAGCTGTGTATGTTTTGTAAGAAGTTGAGAATTTTTCATGATCTCATTCCCTAATCACCAAGAAGGCTGCCTGTAGCAACTCTGGCTGAGTCAATGTTCCATTCTATTATTATTATTATTATTATTATTATTATTATTATTATTATTATTATTATTATTATTATTATTATTACAGGTGGTCCCAGTGGTCATAGTGCACTGGGTGCCATGCCGAAAGATCTCAGCCGACATTTGGAAACAATAAACATTGACAAAATCACGATCTGTCAACTGCAAAAGGCCACCTTACTTGGATCTGCGCATCATTCGAAAATACATCACACAGTCCTAGACGCTTGGGAAGTGTTCGACTTGTGATTTTGTGATACGAAATCCAGCAAATAGATCTCGTTTGCTGTGACATACTGTGCTTTTATGTCAGTAAAATAATAATAATAACAATAACAACAGCAGCAGCAGCAGAATTGACGAGAAGCAACTGGAAAAGTTTGCACAATATGAGGATTTAAAGATAGAACTGTAAAGACAGTAAAGGTGGTCCCAGTGGTGATTAGCACACTGGGTGCAGTGCCTATTTTATTTATTTATTTTAAAATTTTGTATACCGGTCTTCTCACCTCTATTGAGGGACTCAGACCACTTTCCAACAACAATCTCACAAACAGTCAATAAAACGTCGTATTTCATATTACAACAGAACATTAAAACAGCAAATACAATCAAGAACTTCAATGGTCGGTCGTCATACTAAAATCGTTGTTCAACATCATCCATCCATATCTCAGGGTATTCGTTCATGGATCGAATGCCTGTTTCCATAACCAAGTTTTCACCTGTTTCCAAAGTGCCAAAGTGTCAACCGCATGCAGGCCCATTTCAGCCTACTCGAGGCCAAAGGCTGGAACGGAAGGATTCAAGGGTGGGCGATAACGTATTCTCTTTTGGGAGGGTATTCCAGAACCGGGGAGACACTACAGAGAAGACCCTCTCTCTCGTCCCCACCAGCCGCACTTGAGACAGTAGTGGGACTGAGAGAAGGGTCTCCCTGGTGGGGTTGGGGGTGATTGATTTTGTCATTTGGTAATGCTGGAGTTGCTGGGATTTATAGTTCACCTAAAATCAAAGAGCCTTCTGAACTCCATTAATGATGGAATTGAATCAAACTTGGCACACAGAATTCCCATGACCTAGAGAAAATACTGGGAAGGTCTGGTGGACATTGACCTTGAGTTTTTTGGAGTTGTAGTTCACCTACATCCAGAGAACACTGTGGACTCAAGCAATGATGGATCTGGATCAAACTTGGCACAAATACTCAATATGCCCAAATGTGAACACTGGTAGAGTTTGGAGAAAATAGACCTTGCCATTTGGGAGTTGTAGTTGTTGGGATTTATAGTTCACCCACAATGAAATAGCATTCTGAACCCCACCAACGATAGAATTGGACCAAACTTTCCACACAGAACCCCATGACCAACAGAAAATACTATGTTTTCTGATGGTCTTTGGCAACCCCTCTGACATCCCCTCATGACCCCCACATGTGTCCTGACCCCCCAGTTGAGAAACACTGCAACAGAGGAACCTGCCTTCAGTTCTCATTTAGGGTAGGCATGCTCAAGTTAGCAAAACGCCAGTTCCTTCTTGCTTTCTCCAAAAGAGTGTGGCAGATCTTACCTTTGGAAAGGAGGCCCTTGCAAACCTTCTGACCAGGAAAATATGACCTCTGTGTCCCTAAACCACTGTACCACTAATAGTAAATTCCACATAATGTGCAGGACCATTAGGATCAAAGCACATTAAAAAAAAACACCAGCAAGGCCTTTAGGAATATTCTAAGGTTCTGACTTCCTCCCCACAAAGGAAGAATAAACAGCCATTCATTGCTACATTCCCAGAATAGCAAGGCATTAGGGAAAAAAATGTCTGGAATTTCCTTTGGTTTCAAAGCCAGGCTAGTTAAAGGCCAAAAAAAATATGTGTTGTTTTTTTTTAAAAAAAAGAAGCTAATCTTGGAGAGGAGGGAAATTTGTACTCTTTGAGACTGAAGTCTGTTGCTCACATTGTTTGAGGGTTTATGTGATCTAGATGAGTGGAGAAAATACATGAATCTATATGAGTGGAGAGAGAAAAAAAGTTCCTCCTTCATAAAATAATTGTTTGAAGGGATCGGGAGGATCGGCCAACAACTGGCAGGTCTTTCAATTAATATTCCGTCCCTCAATTTGTGGTGTAAATTGACACAAAGAGGTGGAGTTGGTTCCATACAGAAGTATTGCAGCCAGGCTTCTGTCAAAGTAGTCCCATATTTAGCCATTTCTCAGGCCACAATCAATATAAGGTAAAGGTAAAGGTTTCCCCTCAAAATTAAGTCTGACTCTGTAGAGTGGTGCTCATTGCCATTTCGAAGCCAAAGAGCCAGCTTTGTCCAAGGCCATGTGGCCAGCATGACCGCATGGAGTGCCGTTACTGTCAGAAATATATATAAAAAATAACTAGGTATACTTAATTACAAAAATGTGAGTCAAGCACTGAAATGGATGCAATGACTCAGCAAAAACTAAGGAGGTGTGTCTGTTTCTTCGTAACGCCTCAGTCTGAGAGAGATCTCAGTGTGAGAGAAGCGTGTGAGAGAACGCCTCAGTGGGAGAATAGCTCTCAATGGAAGTAGGCCTGATTGTGAGGTAGGCCTTAGTCTATACAAAGGCCTTATGTGTGAAGCTTCATTGTGAGGACTGAACTTTGTGTTGTGGAAACCTTGTTCTTGTAAACAGTGCAACCATATTATTTTGCTATAAAGGAGATCCTCCTATAGAAGATATAACATTGGTCTGTGTGTTTTATTTCTTCTGGATCATACTGCTGATAAGTTACTCTGCTGTACATTTATGAGGAGGCTCTTTTGTTACTCTGCTGTACATTTATGAGGAGGCTCTTTTGTTAATAAGCCCATTCAACCAACAGTTACCTTCCTGCCAAAGCGGTACCTATTGATGTACTCACATTTGCATGCTTTCAAACTGCTAGGTTGGTAGAAGCCGGGCCTAACAGTGGGAGCTCACCCCACTCCCTGTTTTGAACCGCCGACCTTTCGGTCAGCAAGTTAAGTGATTTAACCTGCTGCACCACCGGGGCCTCTGATATAAACTTCACCAAACTCCAAAATTCAAGTTTCTTGATCCCCTTTCCCTCTCTTCCAAGGAGGCAAAAGAAACCTACAAACAAAAGCAAAATTACGGTTTCTTAATCATTATCCTAATGAAACTAACTCCACATCCAAGCCGCCTTGCTCTCCTTTTTATTTATCTGGAGAAAGGATGTGCATTTACAACATTGTAAACTTGGGCAATGCAAATTGTGGCTGCTTCTCAGCATCATTCCTTTCGTTTATAATACGGGAACAAAAACAAAATCCTTTAGTTTTGCTCCAGTGCAGAACAAAGCCAACGATTGCAAAGGGCTTTGAATATTAACAGTGTTGTGGAAGTGATTAAAATCTTGTTGCTTTTAAGAACAGTCTGTGTGTTTATTCTCAGAGTGCAATAGTCCTTGCCCTTTGCCCAAGGATGAAAGGCTGCAAGAAAGGCTCCTAATTTTATCAGATGGCACCGGTCCCAGAGCCTTTCTGACCTAGAAGTTGTACTCCTCAGCATCTGTGGGGCCCATTGACGTCAGGCCCACCTTCCTCCCTGCTTCCTTAGTCCTATTTCCAGCTCCTTCTCCCTCCGCTGCTGCTATTGTCCCATTACCCCACCTTTCCTTGGAAGGCTGCCCGACCACGGCGGCAGGAAGCGAACATCTTTTGTGGCCGCCTCTAAAAATAACGATACCTTCCCTGTTCCCTTTAGTGTTTATTACCCGCGTGACAGTGGCCTAACACACCTTCCCACAAGGGTTTATTTAGAAACAGCAATGGCTGAGGAGAACAATTAATGTCAACACGAAGAAGGAGTGGTTGACAAGAGACCTGCTTCGAGAAAAGGTCTACAAGTGCATCAGTTCGCCTTTTGAATAGTTTGCCTTTCCAGGTGGTTTAACATTTTTAATCCTCTTTTGAGAAGCAATAGGTTTCCAGCCAGTTCAGGGCTTTCTGGTTCGCTTTTTTGGCCATCCATGAAGTCCCAAGAAAGGCATGGAGGATAAAGGCAACACCCCAGGTCTGCTATGGTTGTCCACTTTGCTGAGGAGTGTTGTGTCCTGAGGAGAGTAAGTATGCCGAAGCCTGATAGAGTCAGTGGGCTAAAGCTAGTGTATCCTGAGAAGAGTGAGTAGGCCAAAGTCTGTTAGAGTCAGTGTGTCAAAGCTGGTGTGTTCTAAGGAGAGTGAGTAGGGCAAGCCTGTTAGTGGTCCAAAGGTAGTGCATCCTGAGGAGAGTGAGTAGGCTGTTACAGTTAGTGAGCCAAAACAAGTGTCATCCTGAAGTGTGAGGTAAACCTCTGTGTGAGAGAAGCCTCATGTGAGTTTGTTAGTCAGTGAGCCAAAGCTGGTGTGTCCTGAAGAGAGTAAGTACGCCAAAGCCTGTTAGAGTCAGTGGGCCAAAGCTAGTGTGTCCTGAGGAGAGTAAGTATGCCAAAGTCTGTTAGAGTCAGTGGGTCAAAGCTGGTGTGTTCTAAGGAGAGTGAGTAGGTCAGAGCCTGTTAGAATCAGTGGTCCAAAGGTAGTGCATCTGAGAAGAGTGAGTAAGCTGAAGCCTGATAGTGTCAGTGGGCCAAAAGTAGTGTTGTCCTGAGGAGAGAGAGTAGGCCGAAGCCTGTTACAGTTAGTGGGCCAAAGCAAGTGTTGTCCTGAGGAGTGTGAGGTAAACCTCTGTATGAGAGAAGCTTCATGTGAGTTTGTTAGTCGGTGAGCCAAAGCTGGTGTGTCCTAAGGAGAGTGAGTAGGCTGAAGTCTGTTAGAATCAGTGGGCTAATGCTAGTGTATCCTGAGGAGAGTGAATAGGCCAAAGTCTATTAACAGTCAGTGGGCCAAAGCTGGTGTGTCCTAAGGAGAGTGAGTAGGCTGAAGTCTATTAGAAGCAGTGGGCTAATGCTAGTGTATCCGAGGAGAGTGAATAGGCCAAAGTCTGTTAAGAGTCAGTGGGCCAAAGCTAGTGTATCCTGAGGAGAGTGAGTAGGCCAAAGTCTATTAAGAGTCAGTGGGCCAAAGCTGGTGTGTCCTAAGGAGAGTGAGTAGGCTGAAGTCTGTTAGAAGCAGTGGGCTAATGCTAGTGTATCCTGAGGAGAGTGAATAGGCCGAAGTCTGATAGAGTCAGTGAGCCAAAGCTGGTGTGTTCTAAGGAGAGTGAGTAGGCTGAAGCCTAATAGAGTCAGTGGGCCAAAGCTAGTGGGTCCTGAGGAGAGAGTAGGCCGAAGTCTGTTAGAGTTAGTGGGCCAAAGCTAGTGTATCCTGAGGAGAGTGAGTAGGCCGAGGTCTGTTAGTCAGTGGTCCAAAGCTAGTGTCGTACTGAGGAGTTTGAGGTAAACCTCAGTGTGAGAGAAGCCTCCAATGTGAAGGCTGAACTTTATTTGTGTTAGGGAAACCCTGTTCTTGTAAATAGTGCAATCATATTATTTTGCTATAAAGAAAAGCTTCCTATGGAAGAAGTAACATTGGGCTGTGTGTTTTTGTTATTTTTATCTCTCTGGGCTACTTGTGCTAGGTCACACTGCTGCTGCTAAGTTATTCTGCTGTGCATTTATGAGGAGGGTCCTTCATTATAATAAGCCCGCTCGTCCAACAATGTGAAGTGTGGCAACTGGAGCAATAGGAAGACCAAAGTGATCTCTCTCCCAGAGCAACTCAACATCATCAAAATGCTTTTCTTTCTCACTCATATAAGACCAGCATTTCACTTTGAAAGGAGTCAAAAAGGCACCGCACATGTTTCTCTTAGTCACATCCCTTTTAAAAAAACAACTTTTACATTTCCATATTTACATAGGAAACCCAAAGAAACCCAAAACATCGCAATAACAGAGGAACATCTCTGTTCTCCAGTGGGTGCAATGGGGCTTTCCCCCTCCCCGTTTACTACCCTGTAGAAAAGCCCAGCGGGAAAACTTCTACCCAAGCATTTACTGCTTGTGAAGACCATTGTACATTCAGCACCATAAAACAGGCAGCCTGGCCATTGCTGAAGTATTCTTTTTTTTAAAAAAAAAAGACCTATCACAGAGGCATCAAATTATAAAACAAGTGTTTTAGTTTTCTTGAAACATACATTATGAAAGTTACAGCTTCTTGGAAGAGAAACCACTTGTTTGGTCTGGATGAAATTCTGACAAAGGTGAGGCTTAGGGAACAGCTTTCAATAAACCTCATCCCTTTTGCTTTCCACTTTCTTGAGTTCTTATTGCAGAAATACTATACTCAGCATCCCAGTAATGGTCCACCTTTACACAGGATACCCTTACAGCCTCTGTTCTGATTTGGTTCCTGGGATAAGGTTTATCTGAAACCTTTGCAATCTCCTTTCAAGAAACAGAGAGATTCTGGAGCAGAGTTAGGGTCCCAACCAGATCAACAATAAATAACTCTGAGATGCAACGGCTCTGGTTGCGCAAAACCAGGACCTTTCCAAAGGTGACTAGCTCTGGGTCACTTCTGGGAACTTGGAAGTCCTTCTGCGGTAGCCCTGGTGCTTTCCGGTTTTCCTCCAGGATTTTTCAGGGCTTCCCCAGGTTTGGTAGCATATCTGGCTGAATAAATTAAAGGCAAAGTCACTGGGACCGAGCCAGCAGTCTCGTCTTCATCTGGTTTTGTCAGAGCGATGTGTCTTTTATTACGGCTTGCTCACTCTCCTAGCATGTTCTCCAAGATGGCAATGAGGTTGTCCAAGCCCCACAAGTAGCCGTCCTCTCGGTTGCCTTCCACCCAAGGCAAGCGGTGCGTCAGCGTCTGTTTTTCTGGAAGGGGGACAGTCTTGCCGAAGTCGATCATCCAGACCCGAGCCAGGCCTGTGTGGTCATGGACAAAGAGCAGGGAGCTGCCAACCACCTGAAAGCAAGAGGAAAATGTCAGAAATATTAAAAATTAACTAGATATTTTTAATTACAAAAGTGTGAGTCAAGCACTGAAAGGGTTAAATGGATACAATGACTCAGCAAAAACTAAGAAGGTGTGCCTGTTTTGTTCGTAATGCCTCAGTCTGAGAGAGCTCTCAGTGTGAGAGGAGCTCTCAGTGTGAGAGGAGCCTCTCTGTGTGAGAGAATGCCTCAGTGGGAGAATAGGTCTCAATGAAAGTAGGCCTGATTGTGAGATAGGCTTTAGTCTATGTGAAGGCCTCGTGTGTGAAGCTTCATTGTGAAGGTTGAACTTTATTTGTGTTGTGGAAACCTTGTTCTTGTAAATAGTACAACCATATTATTTTGCTATAAAGAAATGCCTCCTATAGAAGATATAACATTGGTCTGTGTGTTTTAGTTCTTTTATCACTTTTGGCTGGATCAATATAAGCAGGTGTGCCTGTAGCTTACTATCCCTCAGTCTGAAGTATGTTCAGTCTGTAAGAGGTCTCTGTGGGAGAAGAGCCTCAGTGTTAGTTCGACTCAGAGAGAGAAAAGCCTCTGTCTGAGAGAATCCTCAGTGTGAGTAGGCCTCAGTTTGAGAAAGCCTGGTGTGAGAAGCTTCAGTGAAAGAAGCTCCATCATGTGTAAAGCTCCAATGTGAAGGATGCTGTGTGTAAAAAGCTATTGTGTGAAGCTCCTGTGTAACTTCGGTGCGAGAGGAGGCGCTGTGGGAGCCAAGCTGTTTATCTGCATGAGAAAGAAGCCCAGCGCGGAAAAAAAGAAGAAGACAATATAAAGAACTTTATTTGCGTTATGGAAACCTTGTTCTTGTAAATAGTGCAACCATATTATTTTACTTTAAAGAAAAGCCTCCTAAGGAAGGGATATCTTTGTATCACTTTGGACTACTGGTGCTGGGTCATGCTACTACTAATAAGTTTCTCTGCTGTATATTTATGAGGAGGGTCTTTTGTTAATAAGCCCACTCACTCAACAAAGGAAAACTCAGTTGTCTTCTAGGTTTAATAGCAAGGAGACAACAGGAAAGTTACAACCACTATGTGGGATAAACAATTCCCATAGCTTAGCAGTTTCTCCTCAGTCCTCAGTCCAGTTGCCCTTGTGAGAAGTTGACACGTAATGGAGACCTACCTCATGCACTTTGAAGAACTCTGACTGTTCAAGTGCCATCCTCACTTCTTTGAGCCGCTCCAGGTAGCTTTTCTAGAAGGAAAAGAGAAAACTGCCTTAGAAAACAAGACATCTTAATGTTATGGAATTATAGAGTTGGAAGAGACCACAAGAGTCATCTAATCCAACCTCCTGCCAAGCAGGAACACACAAAGCACTCCTGACAGATGGCCATCCAGCTTCTGCTCAGAAACCTCTAGAGAAGGTGTTCTGGTACGGCTGTTCCAGGAGCTCCAGCTTCTTTTTCTTTCTTTGAGTGTTTGCATGTATTCCAAGATTCCATGCATTTTGCAATAAGGTGGCTTCCCTTGGTTTGCAATTATAGGGCCAATGACAATCATCATTAGGTTCTTTAGTTCCGTCCCTTTTTCTGGGTTTAGGAGGGAAAAAGGGGACCTCTAGTTCAGTTCACACAGAGAAGCCTTTCGTACAGGACGTGAATCAGTTCCACCTGTAGAAAGCTTCGTCTTTTACAGCTTTTGCTGGGGGGAATTCAGTCCCACAGTTCTACAAAGAAGCATAGCCTTTGCTGGGGGGATCCAGCCCCACAGCTTTACAGCCAGCCTTCGCTGGGAATTTAAGACCTTCTTTCCTCTTGGAAATCTACAAAGGACGCTGTTTGGTAAGGACCACTCGCGGCAGCCATAACGCAATTTGGACCGGGTGTAGGGGCCTACGCCAACAGAGCCTAATACAGATTGCCCAGGTAGAGGTCAAGCATTTCCCTGATAGTGAAGAAACAGTTCATGAAGATAGTTGCCTGTCCCTTGTGGACAAGATTAAGAAAGCCACCAGTTGATTCAAAGCCTTGAAGTATTTGTTTGATTTATTGAAGACCTAAGCACTAATAAAGAACTTTGTTAAACTTTCCAAGTTTCTAAAGACTTTGTTTAGGGAAATCTATAGGGCCTCTAATCCGAAGCACCCCTGGCATTCCGTTGGGCATACAGAAAACATGTCCTGTCTACAGACTCTTTCACAGGCCCAGCGCGTGACAGCATAGAAGGAGACTACACCATACTTGCAGGCAGCATATTCCACTACCAAAGTCCCCAGGGCTGCGATGAAGATACACAGATGGTGGGAAGAAGTCCACCTTGAGCTCAATGGGTGAATATTGGGTTATTAAGTTTAATGAGGAAAAAATAAAGAACTGACTGTTTCCTCATACTCTCCTCAAACTACATTACAACCAGTGGGATCCATAGCTGATTTGGTGCTAAACATTTTATGTATTTCTCCAGGAACTGAAAAAGCCAAGTACAACCCTTTCAATGTCCCAAGTTCATCTGGAGCTGTTCCATCTGAAAGAGACTCCAGTCCCTGAAGAGCCATTGCCAACCCAAGTTGACAACAATGGACTAAGCAAACCAAAGGTCTGATGTGTCATAAGAGAGAGCAGCTGCCATTCTTGGCTCGTGCCAACAGTGAAACGATTGTGCAAAAGATCTGAGCCTGGATGTGTTTGCAGAATATGGCAACGTGACACAGCACCCAGTCACAAGCATTTGGTGGAACAGCACCTACATGAAGCATGTTCTCATTTGGCAAATCAGGAGAACAAGCTGTGCATCACAGAAAATGACGTGGTTGGGCCTTGGCCTCATTCCCACATCCTTTGCAACCAGGCCTTCCGCGCCTCATTAAAACGGTTGACGCCAGCTCTTGCAAAGGTCGCAGTCTCCCACTGATGGAAACAGCACCAGGCAGGACAATATTCTCATGCAGAAGCCAGCTGCTTACCAGAGTGCTTTGGTTATTATCCACAAAGTCCCAAAAGGCCTGGATGACTTGCTCTGCTTGCCGGGTCTTCTTAAAACTGGTGTTGCAGGTGCCATCAGCCTTCTAGCGGAAGACGATAAAGGGAAGAAATGAATCAGAAGGGTGATAAACAGGGACAGTCATAAAACTATACTTTCCAGGATTTGAAAGTAATCAGACCAATGGAGATATTCTAGGTTTTGATTTGAAAGAGAATGTTTACAAAATGATATAGATAGTTTAAACCAGATTACAGATAGATCCAACTTTATTTCTCCTGGGAATTCCAAACAAACAAACAGAAAACCACAAACTCCAAGTGAGTGCATTACATGATTATTGTAGCAAGATTACGCTATGCACGAAAATGGCAACAAATGAAAGAAGACTTAAGTAATTTGTGACAATGAATTGACCTGGACTTGGATTTTGGATTCTGATTTTTAATAGACGTGCTTTAATCTATTGTTTTATTACTAATACTAGCCGTCCCCTGCCACGCGTTGCTGTGGCCCACATGGGGGTTCTGTGTGGAAGGTTTGGCCCAATTCTATCGTTGGTGGGGTTCAGAATGCTCTGTGATTGTAGGTGAACTATAAATCCCAGCAACTACAACTCCCAAATGTCAAGATTATATTTTTGCCAAACTCCACCAGTGTTCACATCTGGGCATATTGAGTATCCGTGTAGAGTTTGGTCCAGATCCATCATTGTTTGAGTCCACAGTGATCTCTGGATGTAGGTGAACTACAACTTCAAAACCAAAGGACACTGCCCACCAAACCCTTCCAGTATTTTCTGTTGGTCGTGGGAGTTCTGTGTGCCAAGTTTGCTTCAATTCCCTCATTGGTGAAGTTCAGAATGCTCTTTGATGGTAGGTGAACTATAAATCCCAGCAACAACATTTCCCAAATTTCAAGGTCTATTTTCTATAAATTCCACCAGCATTCACATTTGGGCATATTGAATATTTGTGCCAAGCTATTTCCTGTTTAATTATGTGGAAGTTACTTTTAAAGTAGTTATTCTACTTCGGAAACTTTGTTTTTGTGGCTGCCACAAACTATGAATTGGTTGAGACTCGATGAGAAAAACTATAGCAAAATGTGCTGCGAGATGTCCCTCCATTTCCATTTCAATAAACCTTTACCATGTTTTTATGACAGAATCAATTAGGAAATGATATTTATAGCTCAGCGACAAAAATCGTGCTACATAGTGTTATTGCTTTTAGTGGGGAGGAGGAGGGAAATTAGTTTGAATTGAGGTATATAATGAGACAGGTCACAGATGGGGAAATTATTGCCTTTATAAATTGTATCACAATACTAATACTGGTGTAAAATTTATAATAATAATAATAATAATTATTATTATTATTATTATTATTATTATTATTTACAGTATTTATATTCCACTCTTCTCACCCTGCAGGGGACTCAGGTTGGATCACAATGCACATATATATGGCAAACATTCAATGTCACAGACTCCAAACATATATAGACAGACACGCAGAGGTTATTTAACTTTCTAGTTTCATAAGGGTATGCTTTGAATTCTGGCCATTGGGGGAGCTGTTGCTTCACCGTCCACTTGTGACACAAATGGAGTACTTCCTCATTCTTTTGCACGCTGGAGAGTTTTATGGCATCGTAAATTAGTTAAATTAGCCTCCCCGCATAGGTAAAAAGGTAAAGGTTTTCCCCTGACATGAAGTCCAGTCGTGTCCAACTCTGGGGTGTGGTGCTCATCTCCATTTCTAAGCTGAAGAGCTGGTGTTGTTCGTAGACACCTCCAATGTCATGTGGCTGGCATGACTGCATGGAACTCCGTTACCTTCCTGCCGGAGCGGTACCTATTGATCTACTCACATTTGCATGTTTTCAAACCTCGCATACGCAGTACCTAAATTTCCTACTTGACAGATGCAACTGTCTTTCGGGCAAATGGTTGGGAGCTTATTCCGACCCGGGCTGGCTTCGAACTCATGACCTTTCGGTCAGTAGTGATTTTAATGTAGCTGACTCCCAACCATACTCTACATTTTATAGATTAAAAATAAATACATTTTCAAGGCTGTTCCCACCTTCACCAATCCTTTCATGTTCTTACCTTGATGCCTTCAATACGAAACCCAAGGGAAGTGGTGGAGCTGAGCGTCTCCCTCCACTGCATGTAGCGAGGTTTCAAGATGCCTTGCTGGGCATGTTCCTCTGCTGTGGGAGCCTCTGGGTCCACAGCCACCATCTTGTCATACATGTCCCGGCGTGGACAAGGCTGCTGCCTCGCTTTCTCTAACTCCTCCTCGAGGTACGTCCTACAGAAAGACAAGAAAGCCCAGCATCAAGCATCACACTCTTTGAGAGGAGGTCAGGTTAGATAGCCTCTAGTTGGGGGACCAGAGGTGTCCAGCTGAGAATAGGAAGGGAGAGGCTGCCTCACCGGACTCCCATTTTGCAGTCCATGATGGACGGACCGTCAAAGCCGGCCAGCAAATCCTCCATCTGGATGTAGGTCTCTCCATCATGTTCCACCACCCCGTAGTATGATGGGACGTAGGGCTGCAAGGCATCACAGAGCAGGCGTTCCAAGCATTGCTGCTCACTGGGGCAATACTTCTTCAGGATGCGTCCAAAGTCACCAGCCTTGAAGTTCCCTTTGGGAACAGAAAGAGGAGGTAACTATTACTACTACTACTTATACTACTACATTAAAATATTATAATATTATAATGTAATGCAATCTAATACTAATACTAATATTATATTATAATTATATATTTATATTACATGTAATATTACTAATATTATTACAATATAATGGTATCTATATAAATAAAAATGCAATGTTCGTTTGTGGGATTAACATAATTCAAAAACCACTGGACGAAATGACACGAAATTTGGACACAACACACCTATCAGGCCAACAAGTGACCATCACTCATAAAAACACTGGAAAACGCAACAGGAGGGACTTAAAAACCAAAAAAGCAAAATGATGCTACAGCGCATGTGCAGAAATGACCCCCACCCCAGCAAACAAAACCAATAGCAGATCCAGACTCTCTTCTGGACTACAGCTCCCAGCATCCCCTAGACCAGGCCCTTTAGGAAAGGAGGATGATCCAAATGCACTGCTTCTAAGCTGCAAGCTTTCTTCTCCTTGGATTTCTTTGAAGGTATCCCAATCCCTACATATTTCCAATTTCCTATTCCTGGATTGCAATTCCCAGCAATACTCCAGATAGATAAGATAGATAGATAGATAGATGATAGATAGATAGATAGATAGATAGATAGATAGATAGATAGATTGATTAGATAGAGAGAAAGAGAGAGAGAGAGAGACTGAGAGAGAGAGAGATCAGGAGGGACTGCTGGGAGTTGCAGTCCAATAATAGGTAGAGAAGGAATATTGTACCGATATTGTACTATGCTAATATAATATATTGTATGTATATATATCTTGTAAGCCGCTCTGAGTCCTCTTCGGGTGAGAAGGGCGGCATATAAATGTCACAAATAAATAAATAAATAAATAAATACTACTACTATTATATACTTCTGGTGTGAGAGAATTGGCCATCTGCGAGGACGTTGCCCAGGGGACTTCTGGATGTTTGCTGTTTTACCATCCTTGCGGGAGGCTTGTCTCATGTGCCCACATGGGAAGTTGGAGCTGACAGAGGGAGCTCATCCACGCTCTCACCAGTTCTGCCAACACAAGGGTTTAACCCATTGCGCTACCGGAGACTCTGCCTCCAGGGTGAGAAAGGCGGGATATCAATATGGTAAATAAATAAATAAATAAATTCATTTTCTTTTTTTTCAGCTTTGAAACAATCACTTTTAAAAAATCCATATTGGACCCACTTATTATTATTATTTTTGCTAAAACTGCAATTTAAAATAATGTAAAAACAAAACTGAAATGAAAACCAGATAAATAAACATTCTAATCAAGTCTTTGAGGTTATTTTTTTTTAAAAAAATACATAATTTTCCAGTCTCCTGGGGCTCTTGCATAAAGAATAGCGATAACTTTTTAAAAAGCGTTCCTTTTTCTCCCAGCCACAGTCTGTTGTGCAACACCTTGTTTTCAGGGAACTCTGCTTGAGAAACCCTGCTGTGGATTTCCCTTAGATTCTGCAGGTCACTGAGTCCACAGCAGCCCATGCACATTCCCCACTGCATAATGCTGCCTTCCTGCTCTTGACATTTTTCACCACTAATTATTACCTGCATGACCAGCAAGCTGCACCCACGGGTAGCGTTTCCGGAAAGACACGACACAAGGGGACCAATGCACCATGTTTTTCAGCTTCTTCCAGGGCTTGTTCTGTAGATCAAAAAGTGTTGTTTTGATTTATTATTTTGCTCGTTTATATCCTGCCTTTCTCCCAAGAGAATGTGATTCATCCAGTTCAACCCCCCTGCCAGTTAGGAAAACACAATCAAAGCCTTCCCAACAGACGGCCATCCAGCCCTTGCTTTAAAAACTCGAGAGAAAGAGACTCCACCAAACTCTGAGGCAGGGAGTTCCACTGCTAAACAGCTCTTACAAGTCAGGAAATTTCCAACATATTTTAAAATTGAGTTTAAAAACTACCTCTGGACCTCCACAGGTCTGATTGTTCATGGATATGACTAAAAGGTTATCTTTGGGAATCTCTAGTTCTCCAGCACAATTCTATAGCCAACGTCTACCAGATATTGATCACTGGAGGACTCAGAGATTGCTAGAATGATGTTCTTTCAGGTTTAAAGAAGTGCCTTTTCAAAAATGCACAACCTCCCCACTTTTATGTAGGTCCCCCAACCCCAAGCGAATGTAGAAAGCTGATTCTAGGAAAACATCAATGAAAAGTAAACATCTGAAAGTTGTTCAAAAAACTAGAAATTGATGATAGTATCACTTTGGAGAACCTAGAGGTTCTAGGCCATATCTAAAGGTAAAGGTTTCCTCTTGACATGAAGTCTAGTCGAGTCTGACTATGTGGGGTGGTGCTCATCTCCATCCTAAGCCGAAGAGCCAACGTTGTTCATAGACACCTCCAAGGTCACGTGGCCGGCATGACTGCACGGAGTGCTGTTACCTTCCTGCCGGAGCGGTACCTATTGATCTACTCACATTTGCATGTTTTAAAACTGCTAGGTTGGCAGAAGCTGCAGGTAATAATGGGAGCTCACCCCATTATTATTATTATTATTATTATTATTATTATTATTATTATTATTATTATTATTGGAGCTCCTCGTGCGGGGACATGAGAGAAGCCTCCATAAGGATGATAAAAACATCAAATCATCCAGGCGTCCCCTGGGCAACATCCTT